AATTTCAAGATGTCCGATTTAGTCCCTAACAAATAAAAAGACTATTCGTGGTCCCTAAAAAATTCAAAATGGACCAATTTAGTTAAAATCGTGGTTCCTCACAAATTCAAAAAAGACTCACATTAGTCCCTCAAAATGACTAAAATAGATTCATTTTGAATTTCTTAAGGACTATGAATAGTCTTTTTATTTGCTAGGGACTAAAGCGGACATCGTAAAATTTGCTAGGATCAAAAATGTATTTACTCTAAAAATAAATTCAACATGATCTTTGGACAGCAAGTTCTCCATGAATTAACTTTCAAATAATGTTGTGGTGGTGGTCAACTGTTGTGACTTGTGAGGGTAATGGTTGGCAACAATAGTAATAGTGATCGTGATGGGTCGGGAGTTGGAGTATAATTAAAATTGAAGGAAGTAATTGATTTCTAGTGTTTTTTCAAAAGTAAGTAACATTAGTTAAAAAAATTAAAATATTATTTTTTTCTTTATCTTGTTTAGAGTTGTCGTTCAAATACATAAATAGAAGTAACTTATTTTAAGTAAATAAAAAAAATAAAAAAACCATACAAACTAGTTATAAATATACTTGTAAGCAGTGAAATCAATTGGTTTAAAAACCAACTAATGTGTGAGGCAGAACTGGAGTCAAATAACAAGAGGTGCCGTGATCATATATAAGTGACCCAGACGAATTTTTTTTTTTCAAAATGTAATTATTGCAAAACTTCCATAATAATATTGATAAAGTTAATCTTATAATATGTACCATTTGTTAGGATATTTTGATAAAGACAAAAAAAATACATGTTACGTATTGTTAACAAATTCTCTTAATACCCTTTTAATAAGTTAAAATAAAATATATTCAGTATGAAGACTTGCACTTTTTTTTTATTATTTTGTTCTTAATTTGAATAATTTAGAGAAGTATTTAAAATATATATATAAAATAATAGAGATTGAACTGGGGAAATTTTTTAGAACTTAAAGAAAAATATAAAAAAAATATTGGTAATTTTTTTCCCCCTATTTAATAAAAGGTAGTACCAAGTTCAGTAGTTCCGGTACATTAAAGTTTTTCTCCTAATTTTGCTATAGTCATAACTCAACATTCCTTGAAAGAAACATTTAGTTCACCTTGCCTTTTTATTAGTTTGTACAATGGGGAGAGGGTATGATTGCCCTCTTTAAATTTATATAAATATTTAAATTTAAGTGTTATTTTTAATTACACAATTAGTGATTGTCTCCGTCGAAAATTTTTATTATATAAATAATTGTTATTTTAAAAAAAATCTACATTATAATTTTGTTCCCCCTTCATAAAATTTTCCGGTTCCATATATGTACCAACATTAAGAACGGTTTCCAATGAATAGAAACTATTTGAGAGATTTGATATTTGTAATGCAGAACGTAGAAGAAAATATCATCAGGGGAAATGCAAAAAACAAAGGGCTATAGCCTATATGTGATTCATAATAATTAGAGAGAACTGAGGATTTATGTTCGAAGAGACCCTTAATCGATCAAATAATACAATGAACCCAATATAAAATAAACCTTAAATAACTGGTCTGGACCCTTATATAAAACAAAGTCCAAGATCTGCTAAAAGCCCAGCTGCTTCGATGACGTGACTAGTACATAACAAAAAAACAGTCAAATTGGGGTCATGTTTCCAACTAGGTTGATTAATTTTACCATACTAAAATGCCTCTTTATTAATGGAGGCCGACTAATTCAGATTCGAGCCGAATATAATTATAAAGGCAAGAAATATTTCTTTATTAAGTTTTAACACAATTGTATTTTTAGAACTCGAACTCAAAACTAGTGATTAAGTTGAAACACTCTCCACCACTAGATCAAGTGCTTGGTGGTATCAAACACTCCTTTGGATAGCTAAGTTTCCCTTTATTATAACTACACATTTGAGATCTCGAGTAACATAAGGACATGCATAACAAAAGTTCACTATCCCTCAATGTAGATTTGAAACCAATGAGCTGACCGAACACCTAATGATAGATTTTTGTTAGAAATTGAAAATCAGAAAGAAAAAAAAGAGAGAAAGGGAAGAAAAATTGAGACACAAATTTACCTAGGTACACTTAATGTGAGCTACGTTTAACAATATGCATTTTATTTTTAATGCTGAAAGCGCGTAAAAAAGAGTGGCTAAAAACAAAGTTGAGATTTAGCAAAGGAGTAACGATTCGGTTCTCAATTATAATTTTTAAAATAACAAAATTTAACTCCTCCAATAAGGGCTCGTAAGGACTCTTTTATAGACTAGTTACAAATTGATTCAAAATTTAAAATTTAAAATAAAAAAATTTAAAATCCTAAAAATAAAGAAAATTTCTAAAATAAATATAACGATAATTAATTTCTAAAAACAAATAAATAATTATAATTAAATCATTCAAAACACGTCCCAAATCTTATATCTCAAATCATGTCAATTGTGTTGCTTTCCTTTTCTTGTCAAATAAATAACAATCATATATGTTGCTTCATTTGGACTTATATTTTACAAATTTCAGCTTCTTTTAATAATTGTGCCATATTTATTGGGCAACAATTTTGGTTGACTCTAAGCTTCTTAAATTAATGGTTGAGCCATGTGTAATGGGCTAATTGTAAAACATCAATACTCTTCACTGGACTCGTTATAACACTCAATTTAGAAAGAGAATATAAATAAATTTAAAAACCTTAAGTAATAATAATTTTTCATGAATATGACCCCAATTGCCTTTCTCTGCTTCCTGTCAACAAGAATGTTCATCTTAATACGAAATATAAGTTATAACTTATATCCAACATTTTCCTCTTACGTCAACAAGCATGTGATTAAATAAATTCCTAATAAATACAATATCTAACATTTGTACGTAACCTATGGTCCCCGTTTATATTTTCTTCCCTCTGATTTCTACATCTATAAAAAATGAACATGAACCACGCAAAGGAAGAAGAGTGAGCATTGTCATTGTCACCTTAATTTACCAAATTAAAAGCCCCAAATAACCAAGCTGGCAGATCCCAGTGGAAAGGCAAATATCTCCACACATTGGTTGTTCTCATCTTTATTAGAAAATCATTTTCTATGGTTTCTGGTCCACTTGAGTAGCTAGCTGAAGCTCAGCCACTACAGCTTCAAATGGTTGGGCCCCAAAGTACATGTGCATCAACATACCCATGCCAGATTCCTAAAAATCGCCTAGTTTTAAGAACAGCAAAGCTTAAACAACAAACAAGGGTTTACATTTTAAGAATTCACATTGCTTATTAGACAGCAAATTCACCCTCTTACAAAAGTACAAAAACCTTTTAGCTAGATTAACGAAGGGTAATACTTTTCTTATGTTGCATAAGAGAAGTATTATCTCCTACATAATAAATAGGAAAGAGAAAAAAAATTGGAGATGAGAGAAATTTTTTTTTTGTGGAACCCATTTTAAAAATGTGAGTGTAAGAGATAATATTTCTCTTATGTAACATAAGAAAAGTAATTCCCATTAAAATGAATTAACTTGGCAAGAGATATGTCATTCATGATAAAATTATAAAATTTCTAAAAATATTTTTTATAATATAACATAAAGGAAAATCATTATCTCATTTTACACGAGATAACTCTCTCATGTTGTTCTCACGTAAAAAATTATGCTACTATTTTTCTTTTTCTTTTTAATAGGTGATGTGCCCCCCCGCCAGATCATGTAATTGTGCCATAAACCATAACTACAGGGCCTAGAGTAACCATTTCATTACGTGAATGGACCACTGAACTAGTCTACTTCTCCATATGGACTTTTTTTTTCCATGCTAGTTTGGATCCGTTCGCCTTGCCTCAATCAATAACGGGCTCAACTTTTAAATGAAAATAAACGTACATTTTTTAATTATTTCTGATTTTAAAAATTAAAAGAGAGGTATCAAATTATATAAATATATGCAACTTAAAAGATAAGTAAATCTGAAGAGAGTTATAAGAATTCATTCTTAATTAACAAGTTATCGAGACTTCTTAATCTTATCACCCTAAACTTGGTTTTAAATATCTACCTTAAATTTGACTAAATTTCATGCTCAATTTAATGGAACTTTGACTCCTCATTAGAAAAAAAAAAAAAAAACAACAACGAGGGACACATTTCTAATGCCTTCATTAAAGTTCCTATGCCTTGTGACTTAAAAAATAAATATCTTACCCTTTCATTTAACATGGACTGTGTCATCGTGGACCGTCATATGTTGCGGTCAATGAAAAACACCACTAAACTAAAGAACACAATCACTTCTAAAGAAAAATAAAATGAAAGAAAAAGAGAAATAGATGAAATACTCAAGAGAATAACTCATTGTTCTCTAAGACAGACTCTGACATCATGTTACCTCATAAAATTTATTAAATATTTCAAAGTAAAAATCACCGAGGGTCAATAGCCATAATCAGGATATATAAAGGATCTTTTATATAAACCGGTTGATGTAGAACAAGACCCAATAGAATAAGAAAAAAATAAAATAAAAATTTATTAACTGAACATTACTTTTTATTCAAGACAATAAAATAACTTATCAAGATAAGTATAAAGTCAACAAAGCAAGTCTTTGAAAATTTCAATAAGTTAACAGTGCTTTGACATATGATATTGTTGGGAAGATTTTGAGAATAAAATTGTTTACAATGCATGTTCCAATTTTGCACGCCTCAACGTAGAGGGAGTTGTCATGACATGTCATGTGCATGAAAATGGAGTCAAAACAATTATACATAGAGAGTCTGTTTTGGGGAACTTATCCCATACTTCATTCAATCTTTGAAGAGTCAAAGTGAACAAATGTTTTTAATGTTGATATTTGGTTCAACAGGTGGCAATTTCTCCCCATTGACTAACCCTTGCTTCACTTCTCTATCTATGGGCCTGGCGTTGACATTTTCTTCTTCCTTCACATATAAACATAATAACCCTTTTCATCATATTGTGTTTCACCTTCATCTCATGAATGTTGCTCTTGTGTCCTGAAAAAACAAACACTTTCATAATGGGAAACTCATGCAGGAAACCAGTTTCTCATGTGTCTTCAACAAGTATTTTTGGTCAGTTTGTGGTTATTTTAATCATTTCTATATCACAAGTTTTTTTCTTCTTCTTTTTTAATATTTGATTACAAACCTTCATTTGTTTTTCTTCCCACAACTTTGCATGCCACAAGGTTGATGTTAACGCCGCCTTAAATTTTAATGTGTTTGTTATATATAGTGAATGCTTCCATTTCTCTCTCTTTGGTTTCCACGTTGAGGGGGGTAGAAGACGATGTTTTCTAAAGGTTAAAACAGTTGTTCATATAGGCTTTAACCGTGAAAGATTATAGAATTTTCCATTCTTGAATGAACCTTTTCTTTTTGTTCTTAAGTCCTTAACTTTCTAGGATTAAATGAAAATTTTGTCTTTTGCTCCACCTAAATATAGACCTCCGTTAAAATTTGGTCGGAAAAAAAATGCAGACTCTGAGGCTTCTTTGCTCTGATTTAGGTTCTCCATAATGTTGAATAATTTTGCATTTTAACTGAAATTTGTTGAGCAAAAATCATTCAGTTTATGCTCGAAGTTTGGAATTTTAGGGTTCCCTTTTTGTCATTTGACATGACAAGAGCACTTTCCTACACACAAATCAAGTGTGGGTCCCACGCTTAAAAAAAAAAAGTCAGACCAAAGTCAGGATACGACGCCGTATCCTTACGATACGACGCCGTATTCTTGTTGCAGGAATGAACAGTGCCATTCCTGCAACATGATTCTTATATTTCCCGGAATTTTAATGCCCTATGGTTGTTTGTTCATTATTGTTCTCATATTTTGTGTGACCAGTACCCCAAAGTCGAAATCATCTCATTGCACTTGAATATCTTATTTTATATTCTTAACGAAATTATGTATATGTGTTCAAGTTTGTACATATTAAGTGGGTTCAGTTAGTATAAATATGGCTTGTTTAGCAAGTTCAAAAAATTCTGGTATAAGGTAAGTGACTTACCGAAGATGTGCTTGAGAGAGATGAAAAAGAGGAGTGAAAATCATTTTATAGATGTTTGCTTATGTATGCCAAATTTGGTTTGTTAGATCATATTGTTGAAGATTCAGAGTAAGATGACAAAAACCACATATTTAGTGAAAATTTATTTGATGGTTTTTCAAGTTTTATACCACTCTCAATATGCATAACGAGATAGGAAAATGACATGTATGTAAAACCAGAACTCTTAATCCTAAATGCTTGCTCGAAACCTCTTCTTTGCAGATCTTAGAATCTTCTTATCATAGAAAGCAAATGATATCTCTATTTATGTTGAAGTTTACATTTTAATTAACATGACATGCAATGTTCTAGATCACATGCATAATTTGGATCAGGGTTGGAGTTCTGGTTCATTCTCTGCATGGCTATTAATATTCTTATCATTTATCTTGTTCAAAAAAAAAAATTAATGTTTCTGCATATAGTTAGATATTATACTTAATTGCACCCTTTTTCATATTAATCAACTTCAAGAAGTTACAAGTGACAGAGCTGTGCAGTCTGGTGCAAAAGATTTTAGAAGTTATTCTAATGTCTGCTTTTAACTTGCATTTCATCTACTTTCAGGAAGTACAAAGCCTCAAAGTAAGACAAAGAAGTATTCTAAAATTCCAGAACGAAAAGATGCTTTGCAAACTTCAGGATCAAGTGTTGACAAATCCATCTCCAATAAGCTCAAGTCCTTCACCTTCACTGATCTAAAGGAGGCCACTAAGAACTTCAAGCAAGAAAATTTAATTGGGGAGGGAGGATTTGGGTTTGTCTACAAGGGATGGATAGATGAGAACACTTATGCTCCCACAAAACCAGGGACTGGGATTGTAGTGGCCATTAAGAACCTTAAGCCAGAAAGCTTTCAAGGCCACAAGGAATGGCTTGTATGTGCAACACAAACTCAAAAATCATGCTTCTTTCTAACTGGTTGATCTTGCTTGGTGTTGACTGATTTTCTTCCCTTTTTGTTGGCAGGCAGAAGTCAATTATCTAGGGCAGCTTCACCATGAAAATCTGGTGAAACTTATTGGTTACTGCTCAGATGATAAACACAGGCTTCTAGTTTATGAGTTTATGCAGAAAGGAAGTTTGGAAAATCATTTATTCAGAAGTAAGTAGCATTTTCACTCTCAACATATTTAGTCTCATACTACTAGTATACTACATAAGAGGGCAAGCTTCAAGCAGTGATAAAGTTGCTCATTTGTGTCTAAAAAGTCACGATTTCGAATTCGGGAAAAAATCTTTTTGCAAATATGCAATGGTAAGGTTATGTAAAACCGTATAAGAATTGTCCTCACCCTTAACCTCGCTAGTCGGGGTTTAATGGAGAGTGGTTATTTCTAGTGTACAACATATTCCTTTTGAACTGACTACTGAGCCATAATTTCCCTTTTATTCATAACACCTTAAATTTGGTTTTCCATTTCTGCAGAGGGTGTTCAACCCATTACTTGGATTACACGGATCAATATTGCAATTGCTGTTGCAAGAGGATTAACATTCTTACACTCCCTTGATGCAAATGTTATCTACCGTGATTTAAAGGCTTCCAACGTCCTGCTTGATTCGGTATGTAACACTGAAAGTTTGGCTTGTGGATCTGTGAAGACCAAATCTTCTGTTTAACTACAAGTTTCCATTCTAAAGGAGTTGCTCTAAAAAATTATGTAGGATTTCAATGCTAAACTCTCTGATTTTGGCTTGGCAAGAGATGGTCCAACTGGAGAAAACACTCACGTTTCAACCAGAGTTATTGGAACTCATGGTTATGCTGCACCAGAGTACGTAGCTACAGGTAGATTTGCCTTTTTTTTTTTCTTTATCTTGATCAAAGCATTAGGTTCTTAGCTTTCGGAGGTCAAGGTGGACAGTACCAGAAAGCCAAAACAAAAGCAAGGAGCAATTAGGACACAGGCAGATGCACTCTTATACTATCAATGCACACTCGAGAATTGTTAGAGTATAGTTATTCAAAAAAAAGAAAAAAAAAGAATTGTTAGAGTATAATATAAACCATTAAAGAGGCCCTTAGCTAACAGCTTAAACTTTTGGATTGAATTGGTTCTTTACATTGTATTAGAGCCTCGTGTCCCGGATTTGATTCTCACCGCCCTCCACTTTCTCTTGTGGAATTTTCTTATCATAGGTAGGCGAGCCTATGCATTATCCACCCTTTAAGCCCAGTAGACTCTCGTGTGAAGGGGCGTGTTAGAGTATAATATAAACCATTAAAGGGACCCTTACCTAACCGCTTAAGCTTTTGGGTTGAATTTGTTCTTTACAAGAATTTTATTTTATATTATTTTTTTTTAATTTTCTTGTAATTAACTTGGAACAGTGTGAATGTAAACTCACTTCTACAAATACTTATGTCCATGATTTGTAAATTTGATGAGCCAATCTTTTCATCTTTATAATAAGTTGGCTTTTGACTAAACAAACAGGTCATTTGACCCCTAGGAGTGATGTATACAGCTTTGGTGTGGTCTTGTTAGAGTTACTAACAGGAAGGCGTGTAGTTGAAGATGAGAGACCTGGATTTTCAGAAGAAACACTGGTGGATTGGGCAAGGCCATTCCTGAGTGATAGTAGAAGAATTTTGAGAATCATGGATACCAGGTTGGGTGGTCAATATTCCAAGAAAGGAGCCCAAGCTGCAGCTTCACTTGCACTGCAATGCCTGAATACTGATCCCAAACATAGACCACCTATGGTGAATGTTCTAGCTGTATTGGAAGCTCTGCATTCCTCAAATTCAATCCCAAAGACCCCAAAATCTAGAACTGAGAATAATGCAAACAAGCATTCTAGTCATTCCCATAAGTCAGCTGGAAATACTAACAAACTATGAGCTGCTTTTTTCTATGTGGATTAATACTTGTGCATCCCAACAAGTGCTTTGTTCTTTCAATTCTGTGGCTAAGTGAATGATTTTCATCTGAACGTGGGACAAAGTATGATTTTTTTTTTCTTTTATTTTGGCGGGGTTCATTATTGGAAAGCATTACCATACTTAAGCAGCTGGATTCTTATGATTATATGAATTGTTTGAAACGGGTATATGGTTTGAACAACTAAAACTTGTAACTTTTTACCATTATATTCATTTAATTTAGGGTTTTTCGTTTCTCTATTAAAATTAGATAAAATTAACTTCATCAACCCCAAAATTACGTCGTCTTGGGTTAAAAGAATTAACGAAGGATGTTTAGTAAAATTCATATAACAAGAAACAAATAAAATTCTTAAAATTCCCTTCGTCAATTCCCCGGATCCCCGAAACAACGTAATTTTGAGGTTGATGGAGATAAATTTATTTCGTTTTAATAGAGAAACAATAAACTCTTTAATTTATTTGTATAGAGTTTCTATCATTTTCAAAAAACAAATTACATACAACTTAACACTTTTGTAAATTGATTATGCTTTTTACCCCTCTCTACACATCATCTCCAATGTTATCCTTCCAAAACTTTTATCAAAGTGAATACCATATCTCATAAAAGAGTGATTTCTTAATTTACATATTCCTTCAACTCTACATGAAATCCATGATATATAAGATCCACGTGACAGGAATTTTGCTAGTGGTTGCCAACATAATTAATTAGCTTGATATAGTGCAAATCCTCCGGTTAATGCATTTTTGTTACCTATGAAATTGTTCACAACTGCAAAAATTCCTTAGTCCAACACAAACCATCTTTAACCATTTTAATAAAACACTAAAAAAATTCTATTTAAATTCCATTTAGCAGGAGCCACTTGCTATCTCAGTATCTGCTAAGGCTTCTAACCCACACAACTTCCATCTTGACTGTAAATCAATAGTCCCTTGAAAACTTCAACATCTCTGCCTCGAAGGCATTCTTCAAATGATCAAGTTCTCTGTCCAGATCATTAATAGACTGATTATATGCCTGCATTGGAGAAGACTGACTAGTGGTGTGTATCCTGACAATAATTTTGTACTGAAGAGGGTGAGGAAGCTTGTATCCAGCGAAAAACACGTTAGGGTCTCTGTGAAGTTGCATGCGAAAAACTGTTAAGAACCTTTAGGTCACCACCCCAAAAGCTAGTTCAAAGGGTGGGAGTGCCCAAGGCCTTATAAAGGCCATATTAGTTGCCCATCCAATCAATGTGGGACCGCCCCCTTACGCAAGAGCCCTTTAGGCTAGAAGCGTGGAAATTGCACAGGCCCATTTTTGGTTTACCTTTTGTGCTTTTTTTTTTTTTTAATTCCACTTTAAAGCGGGGGACGGTGAGGCTCTGATACCATGTAAAGAACCTTGAGGTCACCACCCCAAAAGCTAGCTCAAAGGGTGGGAGTGCCCAAGGCCTTATAAAGGCCATATTAGTTGCCCATCCAATCAATGTGGGACTATATATCTCAACACGCCCCCTCACGCAAGAGCCCTTTAGGCTAGAAGCGTGGAAATTGCACAGGCCCATGTTTGCAAATAATTCGCTACACAGTGTAGCGAAATATGCAGTGTCGGGCTGCACAGTCAGCAAAAATGACACGTGTCAAGCTGGCAGCATAACATGCATAATTCGCTACACACCCCAGCGAATTACTGTCAGCTTGACACGTGTCATTTTTGCTGACTGTGCAGCCCGACACTGCATATTTCGCTACACTGTGTAGCGAATTATTTGCAAACATAATTTGCTGCACAGTGTAGCGAATTATGCCGCGTGACATTTCGAGAATTTTTACTGTTCGCGTGGCTGATAAATAATTTGGTGAAGTGTGACAAAATGGTCACTCTCCTAGTGTGACTCTATATTTGCACTGTTCGTGTGGGAACCTCTGACAACTTAATCAAGGGTGTTTAGATGGATATAATAATCCTAACATGTACTGTTGGATTTAATTATGAAGTAATTATTTTAACCATGAAATTGAAGAATAATTATAAAGAAAGTAAAAGAAAAAAAAATAACGTCACCTTTGGTGGAAAAAAAATTAAAATGACAGTTAAGGAGTAAAAATGCGGATAAATAAAGTTACCCTAAAGTGAAAAGTAAAATTATAAATATTATCATAAAAATATTCTGAACTAATTGTTAAAGTTAGAATGAGAGTTAAATGAGCGAGATAGATAAACTTATACCCAGTTAATTATAAAGGCACTTAAAGCCCCAAACCACTCCATTTCCTTCATTCTTTTCTTTCTCTCTCGTGCGATGGTCTCCGTGTGAGCGAAGAAGTTTTTTTTTTTTCTTTTTCTTTTCTACTTCCATATTATTCCAAGCAAATCCTTAAGAAAATCAAAGAGATCACTCTCATTCCTTCTCTCCATCTTGTTCTACTTCCTCTTCCTCATCCATTCAACTTGGTAGCTATATTCGGATGAGAGAGAAACATATTTTGAAGGACCCATAGCTACCATTTTCGGATTTAAGGCTTGAGGAAGGGTTGTGATAATGTTGGAAGCTTGGATTGTCTTTCTCTTAGTGATTTAAAGCTTCTAAGGTAAATGTCCTAACTCCCCTCTTGTGTTTTTGGAAAAAATGCATGATATAGGGTTGTATAAATTGGGATTAAATGGTATGAGTAGTTGAAGGGTGATTTGTAGGTGAATCTCTTTGTTAAATATGCTTGGGATTGGTTCCCGTAAAAGGAAAAATTATGAAATGGCCGTTTATGACACTTTGATAAATTAGACTAAAAATCAAGTGTAGGTTTCTGGTATGTGTAGTCTTGAAAATTAAATGTGGTAGACGGGTATATAGGAATACTAATTGTCTTCACATCTTGGAACTAGGTTGTGAATTTGTGAGAGATCGTGACTTTGTGGACACGAGAATTATTGGAGGACACTGCTTGCCAGGTAAGTTTTGGTTCCTTGGGGTTAATCCCCCGTTTGTTCCACCAGACTCTGAGGGAGGATGATACTTTTATATGGTATGTGGATATGACTTGCTATATGTTGCATGTATATGTATGTATGTTTGTGTGCCACACAAGACGGTGTTTCTTTGTGTGAGGCATAAGATGGTGTTTCCTTATGCATAGTATGAGACGATGTTTCCTCATACGGTATGTTGCAAGACGGTGTTTCCTTGCATAATGCATACTTGTTATATTCTCTGGCCAGTAGGATTATATTATTGCACACTGCATTGTCATACATATTCTGATGCATGCATGAATTTTTATACTGTGTTTATACCAGAAGTGAGCTTAGGGGTGGATGAGCCCTCCAAGGGTCCCTAGCTTACTGAGGTAATTATATTATCTCACTCCGTGTTATGAGGATCACCATTTCAGCTACAAGAGCTGATGGTGCTGAGACTTCGCGTGACAAGAGGCCAGATGAGAGATATTACTTGACATGATTGTCAGGGTCTTATAGGTATTAGATTTGTACCTGACATACCATATTTTGAGTTGTACATGCCATGTATTTTTTTAGAGCACAGGAGATGTCTATGCCATGTCGATAGTCTATATATGCTGTTAGTTATGCATGCTCAGGTCTATGTTACTTATTTAATTGCATCTCTTGTGTTTATTTGATGTAATTATATAAGTAACATCATGGACATTATTTTGAGACAGTGTGATATTGAGATAGCCTATGCCATGGATGGTTGGGTAATATGGTATATGTCTGGATTATATTAAACTGTCAATCAGGTTGAAATTATCATAGTGGGAATTATCCCCAGTAGTCCAAAATACAGAGGAAATGTTGTCCGTTTTATTTTGGCCATGGAAGTAAAAATGTTTGCAATACATAAGGAAAAAGAAAAAATTTATTTAGTTAGCTTCCGCAATAATAAAGTTGAGCATGTTGCGCTTACTATCATATAAATATTAATTAACCGGATGCAGACGGGGCATTATAATGGATGCAGCAAGGATCACAATATAGGATGCAAAATTGGATTGAAGCTTAATCAAGGGTGTGAATTCTGGTTGAATATTTTCGGACACCATATTACAATGGAAATTTTTTTTGTTACAAAGCAAAATGCACTATAAGTGTAAAACTAAAGAAAACAAAACATGGTATAAGGTTGTATCCCAGAAAGAATATCAGTAAGAAGAGCAGCTTGTTACACGTCTTAAAGCATGCTGCTATCACTCATACATAATACAGAGGAATCTATGTATTATGACTTGTGACTTAAAAAATAAATATCTTACCCTTTCATTTAACATGGACTGTGTTATGGTGGATTGTTATCGCTTTTTTTATAGTCTAAAATTACGTTGTTTTAAGACGAAAATCACGTTATTTTTATAATTATAATTTTTTTAAATTTATGATAATTTTTTTCATTATAATTTTTAACTCAAAACGACGTCGTTTTGAGAACAAATATAGCTAACTTATCTACCTTCACTGTAGAAACATTAAAGTCATAAACTAAAGAACAACATAAACATTCTTTAAATAAAATAAAATAAAATGAAAGAAAAAGAGAAATAGAAGAAATATTCAGGAGAGTAACTCATTGTTCTCTAACATCATGTTACCTCATAAAATTTATTAAATATTTCAAAATAATCAGGATAAAGGATCTTTAATATAAACCGGTTGATGTAGAACAAAACCCAATAGAATAAGAAAAAAATAAAATAAAAATTTATTAACTGAACATTACTTTTTATTTAAGACAATAAAATAACTTATCAAGATAAGTATAAAGTCAACAAATCAAGTCTTTGAAAATTTCAATAAGTTAACAGTGCTTTGACATATGATATTGTTAGGAAGATTTTGAGAATAATATTGTTTACATCAATGAGGGAGTTGTCATGTCATCTGTGTATGAAAATGGAGTCAAAACAATTATATATGGAAAAAATATGTGTCATTTTAAAAGATATAAAATTATGTAATTTTAAGTAAAATAAATAAATAAATCATGAGGAGAAAAAGTGAAAAAAATAAAATAAAAATGTAAAATAAAATGACACAAATTGTATAATTGAGAAAGACAAATATTTTTCCCATTATATAAGTCTTTTTGGGGAACTTAGCCGATACTTCATTCAATCTTTGAAGAGTCAAAGCGAACAGAATTTTTAACGTT